GAAGAAATGAAAAAGAAGGCAGACTTGATGCTCGCTTCCGGTCAGTCGTGCACGATGGTCCAGTGCCAGTGGCAGGGCTATAAATAAATGTAGCTCATCCCGCGCAGAGAAGAGCAGAGCAAAGGGCTTGGCGACCCGGTTTTCGCATGGGATGCCAGCCCGACCGACTGACTGCCTGGGCCTGGCTGCCTTTTGCCATCGATGCTCGCTGCTTTCTGCTTGCTGCGTGTGGCATGTTGCCTGCTGCAACTTGCTGATGCCCTGTTTCAGTTTCTAATCGAATCGAAACCTTTTACCCAAATGTTGCCTACAGGCGCTTAGTCGCGCCCGGCGACTTTGTTAGCTAAAAAAATATCGTGAGCCCTGTGTGCGAGCAGGGCTGGCAATTGTTATCAATGTGTGTGTGTGTGTGCCACATGCAACACACAACCTGCAACATGGCTATGTTATTGCGGCTTCTAAATGCTGTTCGCCCATTCGAAATTGTTCTGTTAAAATCTGTGCGCTGCGTTGACAATGCCGCAAAATGTTGCACAGCATCATCCTAAGGGCAAGCACGACAGTATGTGTGTGTGTATGTTGCGCTCTCGCTCACACGGCAGCCCTTTGCGAGAGCATGTCTGGCTGCTACAGGCCCCCCATCCACCCCGCTTCCCTTCGCTCAACAAACCCATGCAAGTCAGTCGCTAGGGCGAGTACACACACACACTCAAACACACTCTCGCTTGCATTCATGCAAGCATAGCTACATATGTACATATTTATGTATATGCTGCGTCTATGTTGCCGTCCCTCACATACATACATACAGGCATAATACATACATATGTATATATGTCGTGCGTCGTTCTGTTCTTTTCTGTTGCTGGTTTTGCTGGTGCTACAAGCGCTGTTTCTGCTGCTGTTCGCCTGTTCGTGCGCACCATCGAAATTTCACATGTAATTCCCACGGCCTGAATTTTCCCACACAAAGCGAAGAAGAGGAAGCGAAATTCAACAACAAAGCGACATACGGGCGATTGGGACAGACAAGAGCGGCAGCAGCAGGCAGCCGCAGCAGCAGCTCACACAGGCAGGCAGACAGACAGACACACACAAACACACATACAGACAACATTTTTTTATTGCACTCAACGTGGTCCCAGGGTCGCTGCTCGCTAATCGGCTCGTCTCCTTCTTCACAGGCACACACACAAACGCTGCCACGAACAAACATACTCACACACACACACACGCACGCGTATATTTCTTTTCTTTTTTTCGTTTTGACATTTTTTTCTTTGAGCCACATTTTTGTTTCGACAGGGATGCAAGCGCATAGGCTATGTAAATTATTCCAAATGCTCTTTCATACCCTTTCTATAGCAAATTATAAAAATATCGCCTAATATGTATGTATCCTATGTATCATAGTAATAATGAGAATAATAATAAGAAGAATTAAAGGATATTCAATATTTGGCATTATAGCTTATTATTATAGTGTCAAATTTATTAATACAATATAAAATTCTTAAATTGGATAATATACATTAACATTACTATTCTTAATATTATAGTCTATTTTCATCATAAAAATATACACACTACTGTAACATAACCTCAAAAACTCACTCAGATTTCAGGTTATGTTTACTTAACCTTAAAATTTATGTGCATATGTATCTTTTAAGATTATTGTCCATCCAACCACTTGACCTTGGAATGCACTTCTAATAGTCCATTTACCTGCGCTGCTTAACAGTTCCCAAATAAACTAAAGAGCATAATAGAAGGGCGGGAGATGGGTTAGAGTCCGAGTCAGATTCGTGTCGCCCTGACATAGCATAGCCGTCATTCCAGTTATTTTTAACTGCATCGCCAGCTTCGGCTACTGCACTCCTGGTTTATCAATATGTTCAAGGATTTTTTCGTGCTTCCAGGCATGCCATTCCTTGTCCATATATGTAGTCACTGCGTGCGTGTCTGCATATGTGTGTGTGCTTGTGCGAGTTGATGCCTTCAATTTGGCAGCCTGACTTGAAAAGTCATGAGCGGAACACATTTGTACACACAATTGAGTGCCTCCCAACGTAGTGATGTTAGAGTCAGAAATAGAGAGAGAGAGAGAGAGATTGTGACTGTGCAAGGTGCGGGCGTGTGGGAAAGAGAGGGAGGTAGCTTAGTATAGGATATTTTGGCAGCTCTTAGCATGTGTGCTACATTTGCTGCTATCCTGTGGCCCAAACTCAGCAGGAGTAACAAAAAATGCGCTTAACGAGCAACTTTCCATACACATTGGCTCAAAAATACACACATACAAACATATGTACATGAACAGAGTCAACTCTTGCTCAAACCAAAGCTCAAATTTCATATCACTCGCAATAACTTAATGCATTTAAAGCGTCATATATGTATGTAAGTACGCTCAAATCTAAGTGACTGCTTGATGCCCTCTAAATCAGCTGCAAATGCTCCTTAATTATTGTGTATTATGTTAATTCGATAAATAGATTTATTATTCTACACATTCAAAGTGTAGAACGTGAAGATTCAAACCAAATTTAATGTGCCCAACATGAAAATGCTGAACTAATATACTCTTGATTACTTTATTAAGAGAGCATAAACGAGGGAATAGTTATGTATGTATATAAATGTGATCTGTAGAGTATTTTATCTCAGCCATGTGCATTAATGAGTTACTTGCAAATGTTTAATTCAAATAGTTTAATTGCCAGCTAATATCTAAAAGTTAGCTTTACATTTGTACACATTTTGTATTAATGTATTGTATAACTGCGATATTATCACAAAAGTTTATTTACATTAATATTTGTGTATCTCCTCGGCAAGGGTGTTGAAAAAGCTTATTCTGCATTAAATGGCTTCGCTTCGACTTCTTAAATGACATGCAAACGGACATACATACATACATACATCTGCTACTGTACACCATTTGGCGCCATTTCCTCATCGGCAAAGCTTTCGCTAAGCAAACTTTTTGCCACACAAGCGCACGCTCGCTACTCACACTGGCTCACACCACACACAAACACGAGCACGCGAGCGAACACATAATCTCGCACACATGCACACACACACTCACATGGCCAATTCACACTCATTTCAACGCAACGAAATGAAACGGCGAATGGGCCGTCGAGTGAATGTCACGGCGAGAAATCTCTCAAAGCTGCCTGCTCGAAATGCTGAATGCCTGTTCATTAGAGTCCATGAATTGAAATTGTGTGCAACGATGACGGCGACCGCATGACCAAAAAAAAAACAAAATAAGAAAAAAATCGCGGCTTGGGAATGGGAGGAGGCGTTTTGTATGTGTGTTGGGTGGTGCGGCGGATCAAGTGTTCAATTACGAGTGAGCCACTGTGTGTGTGTAGCAGCAACCTAATGGCGCTTGAAATCCATAAGCGCTCAGAGTTGAGTGCCTGCCTGGGCTTGCGCACCGCTGGAACTGGAGCTGGAGCTGGGTTCGGGAGACTCCACGCTCCGTCAATTCAATTTGCGCGCGATTCGCTTGCGCTTCCAAATGAGAAGGAAAAATAAACTAGAGCAACGAGCAGCATCATTTAGATTTAGACCGGAATAGTAGCAGGCGCGCAGCATAGCTTGGCCAGCGGCCCGTAGGTACATTTTTGTTTGCCGTTGGAAGTGCAGCATATGGACATCTCGCTCTCAGTCACTCTAGTGGTTGCACTCGCACGCATTGCACTTTGCCTGTGAGCTTTTTGCGTTGATGTTTGGCGGTAAATTCAAAATCGAGTATTGCAGGAACAGAATTTGTTAAAAACAATAAAAACAACTTCGCTTACTTGTGAAAATTTATATTTAATACTGAAAGATTATTTACTACATTTAAATTTGGTCAATAACGATACGGTTGACATTACCATAATATATATATACATTTGATTCGATATTATTTAGATCTTTACAACTTTCTTAAATTAATTCATTTCATCAGCTGTTTTGACTTGTGTACACAAACAGCAGCGTTGCCACTTAACTAAGTATAGGGATGCCAGACTGCTAGAAACACATAAGCACAGCCCAACGAGGCTGCCAACTTGCGTACAGTTTGGCGCGCAGTTTGAATGTTGAGAACTGATTGCATTGTGCGCCTAATTGCATTTTATAGCACAACAAAGTGAGCGAAGGCTCAACAACAAAGTGTAATTTAATTGCCCAAGCAACAGCAACAACAGCCACAATCTTGCCGCGATGATGAATGAATGCAATTTGTATTTAATCAATAAGCACGCCCCGCAGTGTTTTAAATCAGCGCACAGCGCCGCTTTACGGCTTAGCGCCAGCATCCGCAGCATTCCCTCTGTCTCGCTCTTCCTCTTTCTATCTTTCTCTTTCAACGCATCCGTGCAGAGTTAGGCAATTTTAATTGGATTTGCATTCACAGTCGCTGCTCGATACCCGTTTTCAAGCACACACACACACATACGCACACTCAACTGTTGCCTTCCTCTGGAGCTTCCTCTTTCGGACCTTTTGCTTGGCCGTCGTACGCCTCTGGCCTGAAACATAAATTTATTTTTAATTTACTTATGTATGCGCGACTTTGGTAGGCTGCCCTGCGGTTGTTTGATTTGCGAATTAAACAGCGTGCAGCAAAAAAAGAGGGGAGCAAACAAAATTAAGGCAGCGGCTCGTTAGCGCTCTTGCAACATGTCAGTGGCGCTGGCTTTTAGGGGTAGGGGCTGGGTTGTGGCATGTTGGGCAGTTCTGAATTGTCATAGGCCAGATCAAATGACAAAATTAGTTTAGAGTTTTTATAGAGCTATAAGTCAACTGAGCGATAAGAATGTCGAAGGCGAGCAGAAGAATTTTATAAGGCATCGAAACTTCTAAAAGTTCTTTTAAAAGTGGGCGTGTCACCCATCAATGTTAACAAACAGTAATTATAACGCAGTAAAATTCTGCACACGAATATCCTGTTAGAGTCATTATTCGAGATTGAAATGTAGAATAAAACGTAAAAGAGGTTAAAAAATTAAAAATTAGTTTTATAAAAAATTTGTGCTCATGTTTACTACCAAAATGTTTAAAGACTTAGTTCCAAACATACATTTATTGTTAATACGCCCATTCACGATATCATACGTCTCATATACCCTATTCGAAATGCATGCAGGGTATAGAATATAAATCTTGTATACATGTAGCTCGTCTCGACTAATGCACAACGGCCCCAAATCAATCTGCAGATGAGTCCCAGCATCTTCCACTCAGCGCGCCTGTTTCATATCGCCACCTTTCTCTCTCTCTCTCTCTGTCTCTTTCTTTGTCAGTCCCTCTCACTTGTGCCGTTGGCCACACAAACAGCGTCTCTGGCAATTTAAAAATCACATTAAATTAGTCAGCAAGAAATCAGCGCAACGAAACCATCAACAAATCATCTCAAATTAAATTCATTCAAGAGCTCACAGCTCCAGCTCCAACTCCAGCTTGAGTTAGAGTTTTACATTTTGAGTTTGGCCTCAGCTTCATTCATGCTCCGTGCGAACGGGTAGCACTTGCTCAGCAGCGGCTCTCTCCCTCTCTCTGTCTCTCTCTCTCACTCTCTATCTCTGCTGGGCAATTAATAAAAATGTAAATTCAATTAAATTTATATGACAGCAAGCTGTCAGAAGAGCTCAAATTAAAAATTACTAACAAGACCAGTTACCAACTCGCAGTCCACTCAACTCCAGCTCCACTTCGGGCCAGGCTTAATTAAAAATCCAACAACTGCGCGCCTAAGGCAGACGCTGAGCCAGAGACAGAGGCAGGGTCAGGGGAGCAGTGGGACTGGAGCCGTGGCCAGTTGCTCAGCAATTCTCATTTGCGAGACTTCAATTTGAGTGACGTTCGGTGGCCACCCGAATGCTTGGGATGATGCAGCGGCTGCTGCACATTTGCGAGGTAGCCAACTGCCAGTCAGTCACCAAAAAGTCGAGATGAGCTGGATGGATGGATGGATGGATGGATGGATCGCAGTTTTTGCTAATAGCGGAAGCGTTGCGGGGCCGAGGCGGCTTGCCTCGGCGGACACCGCCTAATAATTAATAAATTAAAAAACAAAGTAACACGCACATGACATGAGAGAAACGAGCCAACAGTCGAGGCTGGCCCAGAGCCAAATTAGCCGCACACACACACACGCACACACAGAGAGAGGGAGAGAAAGGATAATCAAATGCTGATTTATGGCAATTTGTAGTCGAGTTCAGAGTCGACGTGGCACATCACTTCCGGCGCGACGGCAGCTGTGTGAGGTCCTGGCGCTCAGCTGACCCTCATCCTCATCCTCATTCCCATCCACATCGAGTTAGAGTTTATGTGAAAATTAGTAGCTAATTTGCGCTGTCATCATTATTGTGTGTTGTGCAAACATTTGTTTGACTCGACAACGAGCGACTGATCCGATCGTCCGAGTGTCCGACCGAATGAGCTCGTGAGAGGCGCATAGAGAGGCGGGACATGCATATAAATGAGCAAGCATGACGGCGCACCGAATGGACCCACTGAATCAGCCACTGATCAGGTACTCAAGCACTCGGATCATGTTAGCTGCCGTTGATTGCGGCCGTGTGTGCTCCATGTTCATAGATTGTTATTAATACAAAGTTTACAGCATTCGCAATGGACCTCACAAGGAAACACTAATCAACCGGCTTAAGACTTCGAGATGGATTGATTTAGTGTTACAAATTTGTATTTGATATGTTAGTTTAGTTGACTTTTCTACATATTTTGTACATTATACTTGTATATTTCAGAAGGAATTCTCCAAGATATATGTACTAGTTCAGCGTTTTGGTATTTGGTATTTGGTATTTTTCATTTCCACCTCCTCTCCTTTCACCTGATCACCATACATTTCAGATTAAATGAATAGCTATACAAATTCTTAATGAATAACCATTTAAAGACCAAAAGCAAAAGGTAATTGAAATGTGTTGCACAGTGTTAATGAAATTTTATGGCTACGGGAAGACACGCGCATCTTGATCGCCATGTGATGCCATATTTAAGAAGCTAACGATCTGCCGAACAGTCAATTAATATATATCAAAAATGCATATTCATGATGTTTTCGGGCTTCTCTCTCACTCCCTCTTGTCGTTTACCAGCCCACGCAGTCGAAAGTTAAGCGGAACGAAACGAAACGAATCAAGAAATCAATAGACCAGCATAATAAGCTAAGCAGCAGCAGTTGCCTCAAGGGGGCGTGGCATAAATTTAAATTATGTTGATTAGCTAAATGAATGGGTGGAGGGGGGAGCGTTTGGGTGTATTGGGGGCATCACATCAAAATGGGCATAGCTTATGATTATAATGACGAATAAGCCTAAAGCCAAAGTCAAACGAAAGACTTGAGAAACGAACTTGTTTATGCAAAAATCTGTTCTTTTTTTTTAGCCATAAATTAACTCATAATTCGCAAAGACTTATAAACGAATGCTTATCAAATTAATTAATTAGTAGCCGCTGCTCGAATATCAGGAATGATTAATAGATTAGCCAAGTGAAGGTTCAGCCTGGTACGAATTGACAGGTCATGGGTTAATTACGATCCGAGAGGCTGTCCGAACAAGCTACAACAGCAGAGCTTAGTTGGTGTATGCTGAAATGCGATTTGATTTCCGTTCCGCGTCAAGTTCAATGACAGAGCATCGCAACAATAATACACTCTAATCAAATGTCTGACCCTCAGAAATCGAATCACTTTTTGGATTAACGCGCAAAATGAAAGATTTTAATCACATTAGGCGCAATTTTGTGGACTGAATACGTGTTCGCAACCGATTTCCGGGCAAATTGCTTTCGATTATTTTGGGAGAGACAACGAGCGCTGCGATTGCAATAAGAATTCTTGAGAGAAGGCGTGGCCGGTGCTGTTTCAAAGCATCAATTTGCAAAACTCCAAAGCAATTTATCGAAGCACAGCGCAAAATAAGCTGAGGATTATCACTGCAGTCTCTGCTGATTAGCTGCCTGCAAAGAATACCTGAAAAATATAGTTAAATCATATAGTTAAATCATAGTAATTGCAGATGGACATAAACGTAGTTCTACAAACAGATATGTTATATTATTATATTATGTTAAATTTCTAAAGGACTTATCTAAAATATCTAAGAGAAATAGTGTATTGTGAGAAAATATGAAATAAATAGTCAAAAATTCACAACGCTTTCATGAGCACTAAGCATAGTTAGGGTATAGATAATAAAGAATTCTTTGCACTAATATAAAATTGTAATTATTGCGTAAGAAATTGAATATTTTAATGTTTAGAGTTAAAGTAGATACTTCACTAATAAAGGTGCTTGTTTCTATGCCTTTAATAAATTTTTCTTCATAAAAACATGACATTTCGATGTCCCAACTACATATTTAGATGCAAAGGAAATACAGTCTTATTTTGCAAAAAAAAAAAATAAATAAAAATAAAATAAAATAAATAGTCGTACATTATAGATGTGGATTCTGCTGGCAAGTCTTTTACTTAGAAACCAAAAATATACCTCTTTGGACTTAGACAAGTAGTTGCCTTGACATTTCCCCTGTTGGCCAATATTAAAATGTGTAAAAACATTGGCATATCAATTGAACAACAGACAACCAACATAAACACTCCAAGTTGTAGGCGCAATTAGGTGCACGCCCATTCACGCCCACGCCAACAAAAATAGTGTAAAACGAATTAAATTTTTAAAAATAATTTTGATATTTATATATACATATTTACATACATATACATATGTAGATTATATGTATATATGTACATGTATACAAAACTCTAACAAACTGGAGAAAAACGAAACTTATTCAATTACCCACTTTGGATAGCATATGCATTCAAATTAAATTATGTAGCTGCAACAACTACAACTACAACAACAACGATTGGTAATGGCAATTACAGCTATAAAGCCGCCAAACACGAATCGCGTGCAAAAACAATTTAAAAAACAATCAAAAAGAAATAAAGCAAAAAAAAAAAACATCAATGGCAACATAAAATACCATAGACCGAGACCTCTAGCCAAGCGACAGCTCCACACTTCTGTGCATTTGCAGTTACGTTTCGGTTGGCCAACACCCACACTCACACACACACAAACATTTGGCCACTTTACACTGGCCCCAACTGGTAAAAGTTTAAGTAAACAAAACTTGAGTGGAGCGCTCGATGCCAACCCTGCCAAACACTGCCCTACACTACTCTGCCAATCTGCTCTAGCCTGACTCTGCTCATACCCTACATTATGTGCAGATTGGGTATATTGTAGCAATTAAGTTGTGTATGGTAACTGCATAATCATAAAAGTCTTAAAATCAAGTATTAATAGATTAATTATATGTAATATATATTTTAAAATCTATATAGTTTATCCTTAATATCTAATTATATTGCTCTAAACATTGCTCTTAATTTGTTTAAATTTCTTTGATTTTTTCACGCTCAGCTCACCTAGCAAGTGCACTCTCTCTCTCTCTCTCTCTCTCTCTCTCTCTCTCTATGTACCCTCTCCCTATCTTCTTCTCTCCTTTTCTACCCACGTCTTTTCACAGAGTATTTGCACGTCGTATATGCCCGAAGCATTCTGCCTTTATTAAACTTACGTTTCATTTTGATTTCATGTAAATTGCCTGTCGACGACACAACACCAACAGCAACACCAACACCATAGCAAAAGCATGCATTCACACACACACACACGCACACAGATACTCAGGCACTCCATGCGGCTCTCTTTGCGTGCTTTGTGAGCATGCGACGCGCTGATTGGCAGACGGCGCTGAGCGAAAAGGGCGGCGCTTCAGAGCGCCACATGAGCCCGAAAGACAGAGAGAGAGAGAGAGAGAGAGAGTGCACTTGCTAGGTGAGCTGAGCGTGAGAGGAGAGCTGACTGCGGCAGGTGTCGCCGTAGCAATTTGCTACTTAACTCGACGCGTTGCCAAACTAAACAAATTCGAAACTCGACTGCCGCAGATTTTAAATGAGATTCGATTGAGCACCCCCTAGAGAGCGGCAAGGGGACAGAACGAGAGAGAGAGAAAGAGGGAGAGAGAGGGCAAGCAGGAGAATGACGAGTGCAGAATGCCGACGGCACAGCGAAGACTGTTTGAAGCCAATTAGATATAACAGTTAACCAAGTCTGGACGCTCGTTTTTGGTCAAACTCTTAATAATATTAATTTAAAATATGCATTGCTAAATGAGTGTCGCAGCATGGCAGACCGTATGATACCATGCCATAGCGTGGCATAGCATGCGATGCCATACGCTCCATACCAAGTAGCTGACACCTTAATAAAATCGAAGAGCACTCTTCTTCGACAGAATCGCCAGTTGCCAACTCGTTGAGGCATGCTGCAAAAATGACTATTTTTGGTTGAAGCTGCTGCTGCTGTTGCATGTGGAAACGGATGGATGGTTGGATGGATGACAGGCCTGCATGCCAATCACGCGTCAATTGCACTGACCATTGCCAGCTATTTAGGTAGCCAGCCGCAAGTCCCCATTAAGGCCGCTGTCAACGTTGATGAGTTGATTCTGTCGCTGACAGGCGATCCTTATGCAGGAGCCCAAACTGTTACGCTGATCATTCGCAAATGGCAAGCGTTTCACACAAATTAGAAATCAACTTGCAACTCAGTTCTAGTTTTTCAAATTAATTCAATTGCTGTATATATGCGACAGATATCGTTATTCGTGATTCGTGATATTATAAAGACTAATTTGATATCTCCAATCTGCGAAGGCTTATATAGTATTCTCCTAATGAGTGAATAGCTTTGGTTATACGAGTAGGAATCCCACTACAGGAATGAAGGATCTGAATATAAAATAAATTATATTATTTTATTTATTTATTTTTTTTTTTACAGTAGACAATTTTATAAATTTTATGTATTCAAATAAAGGTGTTCAAAATTATAATAACCTAATAATTTACTAATAATTTTCACAGATATAATCGATATACTCAACATAAATTTCTTACAAAGTATTAAGCATTATAATTTTTATAATATATTCGTCATCCATCGTCATCTATTTTGGAGTCATCACACTCCACATAAAGTTGCTTTAAATGACCCATTGAATAGTCCAGTTCCTGACCCCACTCACTCTTCCACTTACTGTGACTAATGCGCCGAGAGAGTCCCGGGGGCAAACGCCGCTTATCTATGGGTCTGCAGCATATGTTTCGGTCTACGGTATATTTGACTTTTTTTCGATTCTTTTCGGCTCTAGTCGATTTATGACGATCGTTGTTGGTGTTGTTGACTGTACGTATTAGGTGATATCGTAAACTCCAAAGCTGTGATAAAACCATTAACAATTTATTAGCGTGTTCGAACTTATGTCAGCCATTTGTAGTTAGTTATGCGATCACGTGAGTCATGTATTTCTCTATGGGTGGCATGCGTCTCGCTCTCCAATGCGCTCTCTTTCTCTTTGTGCGCAATAATGGGGTAGGGGTTGCACTTATCAGCCTCCAATTCAATTAAGCGAACAATCAATTATGATTTGTCACGCGAGCTCCAAAAAAAGCACAAACAAAGAAAAGAAAACAACAAAAAATAGAAAAAGGTTTGCGATAGGAAAGAACACAACACCCGCACAACCTTGGGGCTGCCTCGCCATAGAATCCCGTCTTATCACGTGGTGCGGGACTCTCGTTTTATGTTTGACATTTCTTAATTATTGATTCTATGTTTTCGCTACCTTTTGAAGATTGAAACATGTGTTCTGCAGCC